TGAGGAGATCGCAGATGTCACGAGAATATCACGGAAGTGTTGGAGGTGCGCCCATCATACATCCTTGCTGATTACCGAGGGCCTTCCACGATCCTCGCCAGTCGGTTGTGGAAGGACTTTACAAGACCACGGAGCTAAGGACCACAAGGTTCGTTGGAGGAGACTGTAGCAATTCATACAAGAAGGAAAACGAAAGAGGCAATAATTGTAAACAATAACTAATAAAAATAGCGGAGAGTGTGTTTTATAACATGTAAATACTCGGCGGTGTACTGCAGTGGTTGCCTAGTTCGACGTGATAGCTATACTGGCCTTACTTCATATTTAACATGTCCACATAAAGAGACATGACAACGTCCTCAAAGATAGCATTCCGTGTTTCATATACTCTCTTAGACAAGAAGAATTGTCGTCGATCCAATCTTGCCCTAGCCGCATGTTTTTTGAGAGGATGTCCACGAAAACAAGTGGCAGAAGCCAGCTCAATGAAGCGGTTGGAAAAAAAAGGCGAAGGTCCTGGCTCAGCCGCATGCTGATGTCTGTATTCGGTCACTATGTAGCTGTCTATAATACAAAGTAAATAAGTCGAGATTTAAGCATTGTTTTCCCGAAAGAAATTTGAACAAGCCGAAGATCACGAGCTGAGCAGAATTTAATGACGTCATGAAATGTCGTGACCTCTCAATCAGCTGCAAAAGGTCGTTGCCTATCAATCAAAGAATGAACTGTAAAATATAGTGTCAGCCTCGCAACAATTTATTTGGGTTTCTTTGAACATTTTTTAGGGCTTTTCGGTCTTTTTCTGTCCAAGGACTCCAGGCATGGAAGACAAACTCCAACTTGAGGGTTATCGACAGCATCCAAAACGTTAGGCAAATAAACTTCTTATTCCAGCAATCGCATTTTCTATTTCTGATAGCGACGCCCTCGTGCCATAGAAAAAAATGCTGCACGACCAACATACCTTTTTTGCGCTGGGGATGACTAAACACTGCTTTTCAGTCTACTCAAGAAGATTCCTACAAGTATGTGCGCGTCCTTTCTGATAATAGATGCACACATTGCCACTCTCACTAGTCACCTGTATCCATACTAAACCAACTAGCGGAGCTTACTTACCAAAGGTTATTCGCTGGTCAGCTCTGTGGGAAAATATCAATAGAATATTACAGTCAGTTTAGCTGATTTACCCCATTGTGAAGACTATTTCGGATACACGCGTAGATGACTGTGGTTTTGCCAACAGGGTAAGGCGAGTCAACTGCGCATTATGTTCACTAGTCTGAAACCATCAAAAAAAGATAATTGCAGTCTTCCAATTGTCTGCTTGAATGAAGTATGGAATATACTGATAAGTATCATCAAGGACTGGTACAATGCGAAGCTTACCGAAGATGTTACGGCACGATTTTACGGTCTACCAAAGTACACAAGCCAGGTGTTCCCTAACGGCCAATCGTCTCCCTCCGTAGCACGCCTACATACGG